CTTCGCACATGGTTGGCCAGAGACCAATGGCCTCGCCCTCCCGGCCCAACGACTCCGTTCCCCCCGGGATCTTGGCAGGACTCCGCTATCTCTCCGACTATCACTCTGCATGCTTCGCTTTGGAAGGCGAACGGAGAGGTCAAATATGACACGGCGACGTTCACCTCACCGTCTTCCAAATTCGGCAATTCCAATGGCACCCTGGTGCCAGAAGGTGAGGCAAGTGAAGGGACGCAGGGCACGGGCAGCTGGGAGAAATCGGCTATTTCGGCGAGGTTCTTCCTGAAGTGCCAATTGCGAACCTGCGGCCGCTTTGCACGAACTATTTACCAGGAGATCTTCCCCTGGCAGGCCTATACTCCAACCAGGACGGCTACCTCGTGCCGTCGAATCCCCCTCCTCCTCCCCCCGCCCCCTCTGACCCCCCGGAGTCTTGGACTGACGATTACTCTCGAGACGGGGGCCTGGCCCATTCAACAATGCAATCGGCGCCATCTGCTCCGGCTGCAGACAATGACGGCCGGCTTCCGGGCATTTGGGGAGCCGGACCGGAGGCTCTTGCTACAGGGATTCCTGACATAGGTGTGCTACCCAGTCAAGGACCTCTTCCACCTGGGACGCAAGCTACCTTCTCGACTCCGGTGCAGAGTGCTATCCGCAACGCTGCGTCCAGCCTCAGCGCGGCAATCAGTTTCGCCCAGGACATGGAGCAGTCGATGCCCCTACACACTCATAGTTCTCTGGCACAATCCCTTAGGGTCACCTCGGACATTCTGCGGGAGGTCTCTGAGGAGCTCATCGCGGCTGCCCGCAATCAATCTTCCTCCACAGCGCCGGACACGGCGACAGAGGCCGAGGACCGCCACATGGAGCAGGACGGTTGGGACCATCTGCTAGCAAGGGTTTGCTTTTCCAGAGTTAGTCTGCTCACGACGCTGGCTCATAGAGTCGACGTCATGCATACACCGGCCCAGCAACATCACCGGCGGGCACAAAGCAGGCCCAAGCTTGCATTTGTCGCCAGGCACGCGTTACGCAGCCTTTTCTCGAAGTGTCTCCGAACTAGTTTTTGCTGCTTCACACAACATGTGGCATCTCCGGCCGAGCTCTTCAAGCAGGAGGGTCATTGATCTGGACCATCCTACTCCAACGGCGGCTCGGCCTGCAGCATCTACAACGGAGACTTGGTCTAACAAGCGCCGACGCAAGGAACTGCCGGGCCCCAGCTCGGCCAACACGAGTCGGCCTCTGTCTGAGCTGGACAAGCAACGACAGGAATCTGTAGCCACAGCGCTGCAACTCTATGCCAACCCGAAGGAGGCCGGCATCAAGCTCCTGCTACCTCCCTTCATGGACCTCACTGACAACCCCTTCACTCACTGCCCTACAGAGAATATGGCAACGTGCTGCCTGCATTCCAAGTGGGCGCCCTTTGAGGTCTTCGGTCGGCTACTAGATGGTCTCCCATCCATGCAGGATTCGCGGCACTCCTCTCCCAGCATCGTTCAACCGCCGGACTACAAAAGCATTTTCTTTGGAGCCTACTCACAAGGTCCACTGGTTGGTCTTCGGGCCCAGACGAGAAGATACCCCATGGTCAGCCGCCTACTGAACGCAGTTCTTTACACGTTATGCGGGGTGCACAGCCACTCAACGGTGTTCCTTGCCAGAAACCGTGCCATGGGACTTCACTCGGACTCTCACAATCACCAGGACGTGCCGAATGTCCTGATCCCCCTTTCGGTCTTTTCTGGTGGCCAGCTCTTCGTGGAAGCTGAGGAGGGTGACGTCTCCTTGGACACGCATAGCAGTGTGCGGGGAAATATACACCCCATCACTCTCCCTTTTTTGGCGTTTGATGCCCAAAAGCGGCATTCCATTCTTCCCTGGTCAGGTTGTCGCCTGATTCTGGGCTCGTTTCATATCCGAGGAGCGGACAAGCTCCCTCTGGGTACGCGCAATGTCCTTCGCTCCTTAGGCTATCCTCTTCACAGGGACGGCCAGGTTGGCCTGGAAGAGGCGAAGACACCGACTCCCCCGGCATGAGACTCTCTTAGCTCTCAAGACTCGGGGGCCTTGCCCGCCACTTTTTGCTGTAGCGGGTCCTTGGGGCATTCCAACAGCCTAGGCACCGTGCTTCAACGGCACCTGTTGCTCCAAAAACATGGCTCTGCGCATTGCGAGTTTTGAGCATATCAGTCATCAGCCAAGTTTTGTGCCCCTCTCGTTTGCACACTCAGGCTGGATCGCGCTGGCGGAACAGCGCTGTTTGCGGAGCAACGCCCCACAAGTGCCCCGCCGGCTTTGCATAAGGTCAGGAGCTTGCATCTGCTGGACGGGCTTGCGTCTTTTGCTATACAGCTCAGCTTTCCTCAGTTAGCAGTAAACTTCGTTCGGTGTTGACTCAGGCTCGAGCAAGCTGTGCTAACTGAGGATCTTGTTCCAGAGCCCCTTTCCCTGACCCTAGTCACGAATATTCGCCTTCTTATGTAGCGAGCGTTCATCAGCTGCAGCCCAACAACGGCCAAGCCTGAAGGCAGCCTACAGTACTTCTCACGCTCACACTAGCTGCCAGCGAATTTAGGAAAACAGCGGGAGCTTTGCTCAATCAAAAGGCGGTGGAGGCTTTGCCTACCTACGGGCCGCTATACAGCAATGTCGACAGCCTCGCCGGCTGAAATGCCCTTCATCGTCGTGAGCGATAGCACCCTCCAGTACCTCCTGTGGATGGATGGCTCTGGGA